AGAGAACGTCAGACCAACCTTACGTCCACATTGATTTGATGATATTAGATGGTTGGAGGCAGTCGGCCGCAGGAAGCCTTCGACCTAGGTTACGTGCTAGTTGGCACTCACCAGTCAGCAAGGCGTATCTGCAACCTTGAAGGAACGCATGTCCCTTCTGAGATTCAAACCCGCGTCACCCAGTGCTGCAGTCAGAGACGTTACCACTGAGCTATTCGGGCTCGCGATTGTCCTCCTGTAGGACTGTAGTGGATATTTTGATTTGACACTTACGTCCATATTGAACTGTATATTTTGCTAACAGTTTTACCTGGCAACCACTATCAGTTTTGTAGCAATTAAATATGTTGCTTTCTCCTAGAAAAACCAAAATTCAACTACTTAGTACTGAAATGAGGAACTCTCCGTACCGAAACTAATGAAATGTCTTACAAAACTTGGAAATGATGCATGTTAAATTACTAGATTTTTTGAATTTGTAAATATTTCACCTAATTTCAGTTTAGATTTCGTCTGGAACCCACACCATACTCTATGGATCGTTCAATTTCATCCTAGCATACGAAAGTTCAACGATCTGGTCTTGTAACTTGAAAATCCTAGCTCCAATCTGTCGAACAGTCGTTGATGCATATCTCTGAAGTGTCACGAACTAGGACGAAACAGTTTTCCATTACTCCTTGGTTTTCACTGGTTTTCCGACTGAAACCTGCACTGATGTTATACAGCTGACTATTACCATACCGTACCTGTAGTGCTTAACTTAATCACTTAACCCTAAACATACCTTCCTTTATATTGCTCATTCCAGGCATACAATACACCTTCAATGCTTCAATCCTTCAAACCAGAACGAAACAGCTGTCCAGTACTCCCTGCAGGTTTTCCAATGGTTCTCTAACCGATGTCAGTTCATGATGAAATCCTCCAACCAACTAAACAAAAATCCCTACAGACCAATACTTGGACATCAGTGAGATACTCACTAGCGACTGGCTCTATTCAGACAGTTAACCTGGGATTCTAGTGAGAAGCCGTGACCAGTAAGGTACAGAAGGTCGAAGGTGAAGCAGTAACTCATCGAAGAAAACATTGAGAAGTGGTCGCGCTATGTCGCGAATTAGCAGAGGTAGGAATTCATGGGCTGGTCATTGGATTCGGTCCCAGTGGTTTAATGGTTTACAAGCCCACCTAGTAACCGGGATGTCCTGAGTTCGAACAATGGTGGTGGATGCGTACTGATGAAGAGTCTCAAACTAGGACGAAACAGCTGTGCAGTACTTCAAAGTTTTCCAATGGTTCTCTAACCGGTGTCAGCTCATGATGAAATCCTGGAACAATCAATCCTTTTTTGTTCTAATTTCAAATTATTACTCGCAGTTTCTTTAGAACTTATAGATATGTACATATTAGCCATGACACACACACACGCTAGTATCCCATCATCCGAATATCCAAATGTCTTTCTTGAACCAAGTTTCATAATTTAATAGTTTTCTTTCTCACATGCAATTCAATATGTTCTGTTACTAGCTAACACTGATATTTGACCTATATTGACACTATCCATGACCTTTCAGTAACACTATTTAACTGCAGTAGCTTTGATGAGACGTTGCAAAAGGCGTACTCTTTACTGGCTTATAACTTTATCAATTCTAAACGTATTTTATTACTGTTCATTAAATTATTCTCTCTCACTTATTCTTATCTGCCTTAATCATATCTGTCTACTGTAGCAACATTAAGTCTCTGTTTTCATCTTTGGCATGATTTTTCGGCGTTTCACAACTTTAAGTGATGCATATTTGTGTAAAGTTCTACGTAACTAATCAGTTAGTTAGCCAATTCGAAGTGCATGCAACTGTACATGCACATATTTAAGTCACTCCTTATGCCGTTATATGAGAAATAAGATACACAAGTAGCTTGATATTGTACACAACTCTTTGTTTATTACTGCTACTGTGGTGAGTGCTACTTATAATCAGAAATAAGTAGTATATCAGTGAACGAGTTCAGAAAAGCAACAATATGTTTCGGACACTGGAAAAAGCAATCGAAGAACAGAACTGTGAGAAGAACGTTAGAAACACTCTGCAGAATGCAACATGCTACCAAATGTGGGGATATTCGACCAATTTGCAAATGAATTGCAAATAAATCATTGGAGAAATGCTATACCAAATTTATGTACCTACACCAAGTTTACCCCATCGAAAATTCCTTCGAACTACTTCTGTATTTTCTTCCTCATACTACTTCTAGTATTGATCGAAAACTTCCGAACATTCTGAAGGCATTTTTTCATAACGAATTTTGTCAGCATAATAAATCAAATAAGGAATATTTTAGCTTTAACAAACTAGTTACCTAGAGTAAATTCTAACTTATTCTTCAGTCTACATCTCGAAAAGACAACTTCTGTACCAAAGAAAGCTATCTTTATTAACGTACCATTCAAGGGTGACCAGATTATGCAGTTGACAGCTCAAAGACTTCGATCAGCCATCAAACGCACATTCTACGCCGCATCTCTTTTTCTCACTTGCCGAACATTTTCGATCCCTGTACCTACGATTAAAGGACCAAATTCTGTGGAGTCTACTTCAAACTGTATCTACAAGTTCACCTGCAGCTGTGGTGACACCTATATAGGTAGAACCAACAGAATATTCCAATGCCGTCGGAAAGAACATGTCCCAAAATGGCTACTAAGTCATATAGAAAATCCCAATGTGATTAATCTGAATAGAAATCCAGCATCATCCATTGCAAAACACTTATTAATGTCAGGTCACAAAATCAATATTAATGACTGTTTCACAATTATTTCACATAACTCTAATTCAAGGTTATTGAAGGTGATGGAAGCACTTTGGATTAATCACATACAGCCTAAACTGTGTGTACAGAAAACAATAGACTTCAATCTTCGCCTACCACGAACTGACTACTTGACCTATTTAAATATGATTGGTCATTAGTATATACTTTTGTTTTTATTTAACTGAGTAATTGTCATGACCTTTATTTTATTTTATTATTGTTAACCATGTTAGTTGTAAAGCAGTTGTAAAAGAACTACGAAATGATATCATCTCGCGAAATTTGTCTTCTAAATGCCTTATTCAAATTTATTCTTCAGTCGTCTAAATTATCTTCGACTAGGAGATTTGCGGAGAATCGATTGAATTCCGAGGCTGTTACATACTGGTTAACGAACGTTCATCCGTAGCTGGATTATGTAGACACCAGGATTTAATCACGTCGAGGGAATATGAACATACCCATTAATAGTGACGGATTTCTGTGTAATCTTGGGAGCAGTACGCAACCCCCAAGGTATGAACTCAAGATCTTCCGGTTACAAGACAAGCTTATAGAGCCTTCAGCCTTTGGGACCTGACCCAACGGCCAATGAATTCTAACTTCGGCCAATTTGCGATATATATAGCGTAACCACCAGCCAAACTAGAGCGAAACAGCTGTCCAGTACTTCCTCGTTTTCCAGTGGTTCTGTAATGGATAACAGCTCGAGATCAAACCTGCAACCAGTAAAATGCCTACAAACCAACACTTCAGAAAGCAGCATTTCTCTTTTTTTAGTACCTATGCTACATTTATAACTCTTTCTTTTCATTTTAATTCCTACGAAGTGTTAGTTAAATGTTATTCAGCAGATCGACATCATTAATACTGACATCACTGCATAGAAGTGTGACTACTACTTATCACCATGACGACCATAATTTGTGCTGTGTTTAGGTATGTAGTATTTTTCCAACTTCTGATGATCAGATTCCATCGGAGATAAGCTGTGAACTTGCATTACCATTAGAAATATTAATCATATAACTGTTGTGATTACAGTTCTGTGAGGCTTACCCTTTCTAGTTAACAACATTATTATTAAAATCAACCTTAGCTCAAACATGCCATAAATTTGTATATTTTAAGGTTTTTGATTGGTTGTTTCTTTTGAGCCAATCAAAATCCTCTCATACAGATTAAAATTACTTAATCACAAAGCCAATGGTATGAATAGAAAGCTACTTAAAATTACTCGATGCTGAGACAGCCCAAGATAATGTTAGTGATGAGTGGAGATGAAATGGAAAAATCTAGATCGCCATAAAATTTGACCTAGCCGCCTTCGAAGATACTAGTCCGGTGCTCCATTAGCTGAGTTACGAGATCCAACCTGACACCAATTCATTATTCCACTACAGTCACCCTGAATGATGCCCAGATGTCATGTTAATGAATGAATGAATGATATGTTACTGTTCATTTGTCACCGTAGTACCTACTCTACTACGTCTTCTAAGGTTAATCCTTATTATTTTTTATTCCTTCACGTTCCCAGTGGAACATAGGGCTTCAAGATAGAGACTTGAAGTTTCGGTAGCAGTGTTTATTTTACAGCATACGGTTGCTAGCCTCATGCCCAGTCCTTATTACTATTTATTATTTTATTCTTTTGCGTTCCAAGTGGAACATTGGGCTTCAAGTTCGAACTCTGAAGTTTCACTAGCAGTGGTGTTCTTTTCACGGAGTAGGGACGCCAACCTGACACCCAGCCTCTCCTCTTTATTGGTCTTACTACCAGGTAGCCAAGGTTTAAGATTTCATCGTCAGGGAATCGAACCCAAGACCACGTGCGTGATTTGCTAGCGTTCCACCACTTAACTATCTATGATTAGTCCTAATTGTAATGAATTAGAATACCTCGAGCAAGTTTCTAACTAGCGGTGAATTTACCTACGATTGGATGAATCATCACCCGACCAACCTGATCACCAACCAATTAGATTAGAAAATGTCTACAATAGCTTAAAATAATGTTGAATAACTGCCAGTTTTTGATTTCAACCGCCTACTTTGCTTAAAAATTTTCTTAAAAATGTACAGAAAAATTTCATCTTGATATGCAAGTTTATATATGTATGTATACTTTTATGCAAGGGGAAAGGAACGTAAAAGTTTTGTATTCAAAGGTTTTAGAAACTGTTCCACAAAACTAACAATTCTATACACTGCCTTTGCGAAAATATGTGTGTGTAATGCGCTGTAGAAGTGAAGTTTTAATAATAATAATAATAATAATAATAAGTATATAATACTAAAAGATAAATTACACGGTAATCTAACATGAGTATTTTTACAAATATATGTATGGTTGTTGTATTTCTGTATAAGAGTTGAAGTGACTAGTAAAACACATTCACCATTCACTGTTATTTTCTGTACAAATCAATCTAATTTGTGTTTTTAAATAAAATTACATAAGTGCAACATATTTAAAGGAAACAGTATTACACTTTAGTTGACAACAAGACTGGTTACTCGACTTCTTGGCAGATTCAACTAACTGACATCCTGGATGATTTGAACTGCCTTTCCAGATTCTCATTAGATCACCTTGTGTACAGTGTTTATTTCTTCGACTATTTCACTTTTCCAAGATGTTTTAGAATTTGTATAAACTGTTGTATTCAACTGACTCATATTTTGTACATCATTTGACGATGAACATAATAACATTGATCCATTGAATTGATTTTTAATTAAATCATTTAAATTTCTAGTAAATCGATAAACATATCGTTTCCCAGAGACTTTTTCAATAATTTTTTTATCATAATAATATCTTAATCCACGACTTAACTTTTCATAATTCATTTTTGGTTTATTTTTTCTAGCTCCCCATCTCTGAGCCACTTGATTTGGTTCTTTTAATTTAAATTCATTATTATAACCAGTCCATGAGATGAAGTCGTACGCTTCTGGATCGTGTAATTCTTCTAATAAAAATTGCCATAATTGTATATGTCCATTATGACTATGCATTGGATAGGTGAATGTTTTATGACAGATGCTGTCAGTTGACCCATCTTGATATGAATTAAAAATTGAGCGAGCTTTTCTATTTACATCACTGTTATCAGTGAGAGTGTTAGGGGTACTGGTAGTAGATGTACTACTGACATTGGTAGTAATATTAGTAGTAGTATTCATGGGATTCCCTTGACTTTCATTTATTTGCACAATGGGATTATTCATAGATTGTGAATATATATGAGATAAATCTGCATTTACAGAATTACTGCTTACTTCGTTCAATTTATTTTCATCTAGAATAAAGGAATGAAAAAAGCATTATTCTTCTGAAATATTCGTGTTTATTAATTTAACTACTCATAAGTAGTAAGCCATATATAAGTAAATATTTTGGCATTTATATATACATATATATATAACGGTTGTATGAGAGGATGGATGCAGTGTTCTAGTTGGAACACCATCTCTTACTTGAGGGGCAGGTACGTCTAACTGACGAATCCCAAATAGGCCGAAATATGCATCTTGAATTCAACTACTAGTCCCCATTGAAGCAAAACAGTATTAGACTAGTTTTGTAGAACTATCTAGTGCCCTATAACGGTTAGTGTTAATGAAAAAACAGTCCACCATTCACAACTAGAGAATTCATGTAATCGAAAAGCTTCACACAAAAGCATTTTAAAGTTAATTAACGCCTTTGGTGCTGTTGATTTCCCTGAACTGAATGCTTTGATTGAAAAGCTTTCTTTTTCCTTCTAGATAGTAAATTCAATGTTAAATTCAAAAGCAATCAATACTGGCGGGCAGGTTGTTAAGTGAGGATGTCGAGGCAACTATAAAGGCATTACTATAGTGAGAATTGTGACACTTAAACATCGTTTGAACGCCAAATGAGTTGGACATATTTACTTCTGAAAATTCTAAACTCTTTATTTGTATTAATCACCACCGAACACTTTCAAAATACCTATTCATAGTAATATCTTAACTTGTATTCTCTGCTTATGTAAAGGCATAGACTTAAAATTCCCACTCAGTAATCAAGGAAACCTATAAATTAAGTAATTCTCCGGAAATAAAACGACATTAACTACATTTTGGCGTGTAAAGAGACGTTCAACGGTTTAAAAATATCAAAAAGCGGAGAGATAGATTTGATGTCAAAGAGATCAAATGATTCAGCGTTGCGGTAAAACATGGGAGACATGAAAAGAAGACAAAGAAAGACAATACGAAGGGCAGAAGTGGCACAACATGAAAGATCTGTAGTAGTATCATTATTATAATTGTTCCCTTGGGTTCCTAGTGGAACATAGGGCTCCAACTGCACACCTCCACTTGCTTCTGTCTTCTGCTGTACTTTTCACCTGCATCCTTGTTAGTCCACACTGTTTCAGCTCTTCTTCACACGATCTCCTCTATGTCACCCTTGGACGTCCCACTCGCCGCTTCCCTTTCGGGTTCCACTCGAGGGCCTGACGCGCGATGTCACCCAGCGGCCTCCTCAGCGAGTGTCCAATCCATCTCCACTTTCTCCTGCATGTTTTTTGGACGATTGGTTCTTATTTTGTTCGTTCTCATGGTTTCTCGTTGGTGATTCTTTCCGGCCATCTGATCTTGAGTATAGAGCGAAGACAGTTGTTGATATAGGTTTGCAACCTGTTGGAAATATTCTTTGTGACCCGCCAAGTTTCTGATCCGTATAGAAAAAGTGACTGACTTGACGTTTGTATTGAAAATCCGAATTTTGTTGTTGATGGTGAGTGACGAAGATTTCCCTTAACCAAATCTCCTGTCTTCTCGCGTTACAACCAATATTGCTTCCGGAAACGATCTTTTTTCTAATTGCTTAGACAATTTCTCTACAAAAACGATCTATCGAATATACAGTTCACTGCTCTGAATTTCCTGTTTGATTGGCTTCATTGAACGGAAATACTCAGTATCTATTTACTTGTTGACTAGTAGTACGGGCGCTTCAAGAAAGCCTTAAATTCAACATGATGTATTTCAGTTGATAGTGGAGTCTCAGTTGAAGATACTGTCATTCACTAGGAATGCATGTACATTCAGATGACAAGTTCCAAATAAAACGAACTGCTCACCGAGGATTCCAGAAGTAACAATCATTCATCAGATTAAATAGTTCATAATGACTACAATTTTCTAAAAACAATTTAGACTACTTATCATGTGATTCAAAGCTATATATAACAAAAAAAACATTTCAATAACTTACTTGGATAATTACAGGACGTTGTTTGTTGTTGTTGTTGATATTCCTGTTGACTGAAACATGGTAACAAATGACAATAGTCACCATTATTTACAATATATTGATTATCTGTTGACTGATTCTGATAGTCTAAGGCATGACTGACGTAATCAACATCATCATCATCATGAAATATCTGCGAATTACTCATTGGTATATTACAACAAGGATACAGTCCAGTTGGGGATGAACACATTATCGCCGAATTAGTATTATTCATATATGGATATATAGTTTTGCTTTTAATATTTAACAGTCTATTGGATATCAGTGTTGTTTCTATTGATGAGTCAGTTCCAGGTGTTGACACTTTTGATGCAGTAACACATAGAGGATCATTTTCATTTATCATTTCTAATTTACACTGAATCTAAAAGAAAGAAAACAGGATTTATTACAATTTCGGTTCATTTTGATATAGTTGTTTTTTGATGTTACTAGATGGTTGCAGATAAGCCTTGCTGACTGGTGAGTGCCCACTAGCACGAAACCTAAATGCTAGGCTTCCTCCCGATTGCCTCCAACCATTTAATATCATCAAATCAATGTGCACTGTGATGGTGAGCTACCTAGAATGGTGGCCACATTGCAAACCTGACTGACAGAATTCAGTCTGCACCAAAGAGAGGACTAGACACATCACACTAGTTACTGGTGTCACGAATCGACTTATCGGTAAGAGAAATCATGGGATGGCACTACTGAAAATACCCTGACTGAGACGAAACAGCTGTCAAGTACTTTCTTTTTTAGTTCTTAGTACTCCTCTAGCTGTTTCAGCTTCGTAAAGAAAACCGTATTGAGAAAGGAAAGTAGTAAATCATTACGGTGAAAGAAAGCAGAAAAAGGATGATTCTAAAACCAACAGAACTACTGACTACACGTTGTATGAATTTCATGTGTAACAGGAAGACAGTCTAATATTCAATTCCAGCTGTCTGCAATCTCTAATCCTTATTCTTGACTAAGTAGTGCCTTTACCTATTATTAAGGGTTTTGTTCTTTATGTATGAATAATAGTATCAGTTTATTATATCGTGAAATGTCGCCATACCTAATTAGGCAGTCCGTATGACTTCTGGGCTATTAGTCACTTTAGGTTTGTAGGATCATTAAAATTCGAAGTTGAACAGTCCAGGCCTTAGAATGCGCATCAGGTGTATAATTTTTTTTTAGCTAACTAGTAATAACAACACACTTGGACACATTATCTTAGTTTCGTTATTTGCCATACCTTTTGGTGGATGTTTCTATGATTGACTTTTACAGTTAGTATTATTATCCCTTTGGGTTCCCAGTGGAACATAAGGCTTCAGCAGAAAATCTCTAGTTCGTTCTGTTCTCTTCAGTCTTATTTAGCTGGCTCAACGATCGCCCATAAGCCCGTCAGTTCCTACTGGGGGTCCACTCTACGGACTAGCATGTGATGTCACTCAGCTCTCTTCCCAGCGGCATGTCCAATCCATCTCCACTACCTTCTGAATAATTCTTGAACGATAGGTTGTTGTTTCATTAACTGTCTGCCGTAGTTCCTTGTTGCTTATCCTTTCCAGACGGCCATTTGATCTTCAATATTGACAGAAGCAGGAAACTGCTGCTGAATGTTTGCAATACCCTGTTGGAAATGCTATTCGTTACAACCAGGAAGTTGTTTGTTTGTTGATGTTGTTAAAGAACTAACCTGTCTTGTGCCGAGCTGTGAGCCAAATTCATTGTGTGAAGTCTGATGACACTCTTCAGTTGCTTAGTCTGAAGTAAGTACAGCAAGATTCGAGCCCGCTGTATAATCCTTGAATATTGAGCGTTTAAACCAACTGGCCACATTTCCACAATTGGCGATTGGTAATGAGTAGCTGTGAAATTCACGACATGAGTTTCATCCTATTTGTAACTCTGAATGTCCCAGAATCCCACTAATTGTTTGTACTCTCATTAAGACTTTTCAAGCAGTAGCCCCTTGATATTCAGTTGCTCTAATAGGTACATATGGATCCTGTAAATTTACCTTTTGTAATTCAGTCAAATCTTTACTTGCACTTCATTACCAAGTAATTTACCTAAGAACGTTCCATATCAGTAATTAGTACTGTAATTCAAAGCTGTATGCATGGATGCATGTTTATTTAGTGTAATAGTGGAACAGTTGAAATTAATTCAAGTCGAATTTCTTATATGAACCAAAAAAATAAATGAATAGAATCGGGAGATACGAAAAGGTTGAAGGGAAAGATACCTTCACATTAACCTTATCTAAAATGAATAACTAACTTTTGTAAAGACTTTCTGAAATTAACACTATCTGTATACAATACTATTTTCATCAGCAGTGAAAGCAAACATATTCCAATTTAGATATAAACAGTAAAATTCAATTTACTTGGTTTTCTGTATTGAAAGGAATCACAATCGGTTGGCTATCATTTCTGTTGTATTTCATCTGTTCTGTTAAATCATCGTTACATCTTTGTTGAAATATTAAGGAATTTCCATGATTGTCACAATATGCAGGCCTTTCACTTGCATGCTGAATATGATTTTGTTTACATGTTGTAAATACTGGCGAAACAAACATGGGATTGACACCATTTTCTAAAATACCTAAAATGAATAGAAATCAATAAATGGTTAAAATATTTTAAAATGCATCTTAAACTACTTACAGTTAGTAATAAGTAGGCAAATTAGGAATAATTAATTTTCTAGTCGTTACTTCAGCTCAACTAATTCCCAATAAATTCCACTGAATTTTATTGCTTATCTGTGTACACCCTGAGGATAATTTGAAGAGTCACAGTGTTCACAGAGTTCTTATAAGTGCCAATACTATTTAGTAATGTGAACTAATTCGACAGTGTCTTCGTCTTCGGTGGTTCAATGGTAGAATGCCTACCAGCAACTCAAGTCGTCCGGAATCTATTCCTGACCGGCGAACCCTTAAACCTCACACTATTCAATAGTTGATACGAAGCCTTGGAAAGATGTAAGGTTGAGTATGAGGCTAGAAAACCAACCCTGTAGAAATAACACCACCTCTACTGAAATTTCAAAGCCTAAAGCTTGAAGCTTTATGCTCCACTTGGGACTCAAGGAATGAAAAGAATACAAATAGACGGTATTGTCTATAACTAATGTTCCTTGAGATACGCTTCCTCAAATATTATTCGTATATACATATATATATATGCCTTATTACCTATAGTATTAAGTATACAGATTTCTGAATTATTCGGTAACTTTATACGAACCATAAATGTCGTAACGGCAGAAGCCGAGGGAATCAGTAACGGAGTTATCTGTTCATAACTCAATACACGAATATAGGCAAAATGATGTTTACTATATGGTAGAATCACTATCTGTGTATATCTTCGATGTTGTGCTGCTCTGTCTTCCGTATTGTTCTTCTTTATCTGTCTGTCATGTTTTCAATTTATTTCTCAAGCATTGTTCATTAAATCCATCCCGCAGCTATTTGATGTTATCGTTGATATTATACATATTTGTAGCTGTATCTATATACTACTTACAAATCTTTCCAGTAGCACTCACCACAGTGTGTTAATGTATCCCTGTTGGGATAAAGTAGTTGTATGAGGAATACTGATCTGCATGTATCTACTGTGTTATTAATGTTAACTGACATCCCGTTATCTTCCTAGATGACATAATTTCTACTTGAAGTTCAATTAATATTGTTCAACATTCTTGACTTAAGTTTACCTTATTTGTCTAGGAGATCGATTATACAGTTTAAAATATTTTTGAATGACGCAGATTTGCATTGTAACATGTCCATTATTGTTTGAATGAAGTTTATCTTAACGTCAATATATATTCATTTGTATTTTTTGACATACTATGTCTATTAAAATTTGAAATCTACACGATAATAATAGTCAATTTCATAACACTTTCAATCATACCGTTTTGTATTCATCATTCACGACCAATACACTAACTGATTTCATACCAAATTAATATTACCATCTATTGAAATCAGTAACTCTTCACTATAAGTTAGAGATGACTTTAGAGTTGACGCATATACAGCCAATTTAGAGACTATCAAAAACTGTTAGGAATCTGGTACCATTTAAGTAATAAAGTAGAATTCGATAACCTACTTGCTTCATCTTCTCTTTACCAATGCAATCTATCTTCACATTGAATGAATTTAGTTAATTCTCCTGATTAGTACATTAGAAGTGAATTCTTATTTAAAAACCATGGGATCCTGAACAGCTGTGTCATCGTAGTTTTGAAAACGTCAGCCAGAGGGTGGTGTCACTAGTAGTAGTAGTAGTAGTAGTAGTAGTAGTGGTAGTAGTAGTAGTAGTAGTAGTAGTAGTAGTAGTAGTAGTAGTAGTAGTAGTAGTAGTAGTAGTAGTAGTAGTAGTAGTAGTAGTAGTAGTAGTAGTAGTAGTAGTAGTAGTAGTGGTAGTAGTAGTAGTAGTAGTAGTAGTAGTAGTAGTAGTAGTAGTAGTAGTAGTAGTAGTAGTATCTGTGATTTTCAATCTCATTCGGTAATCACCCATATGAACAATTAGATTAATATGTTTATCGTGTAGCAATCTTCGGCTTATAACTTATTGGTAAGAAGTTACCAGTTAAACTTATCACATTTATTGGCGTGTGTGTGTGTGTGTGTGCGTGACTATAGCATATGTTCTGTGTGTTAAAGATAAAAGGAATAAACAATATGAGGACAAAATGGTTAAATTTCTCTCGTTAATTATCTTACACGCACACACACACTTACACACTCACATATTAGCTAAACAGAACAACTTAATTTTCTTAAACTTTCATTAACTGTATTCGCATTTTGAAAAAAAAATTAGTGGTGAAATAGTTTCTAAGGTTTATTGTCGATTATAATTACTTCATTAATTGTTTAGATGTATTAAGTTTTCAAATATTGCGGTATTTTCTACATTCATGCGTATTTTTAAAACATTTTTATTTCACAATTGAATAAACTAACTGAAAAGGCATTTATCTATGATAATATCTTAGTGATTCCCTGCGTAATTTATAAACAATAAAGTTTATATACAAGCGGTGAAGAAAAGTGAAATAACACTCCTGTTAAGTATCCTCGCTGATAAATATGCAAACTTGAAAAATATTCAGTACGCTGATTAGTTGGTTTTTCCTTTGGTTTTCATTCCATGAGTTCTAAGGACTTCAAGCTCTAACGTTTCAGTAGCGTTAATGTTGTTTTTTTACGCCCAACCTTCCCTTTTCTCCAAACTTTCTACTGATTAGATGAGGTGTGCAAGTAAGTCGTCCGAAAATCGAACCTGCTCCTTTGTTGTGGCTGAAGAGTATTCTGCTATTGGACCATTGGCTCAACCACACTGTATTATTATTATTGTTTACTTTAATTCCTAGAGGAATATAGGGCTTCAGCCGTGCATCTCCATTGCGTTTGGTTCTCTGCTAGAGTCTTCACCTGGCTCCAAGTCTGCCCACACGTTTTCATCTCCTCTTCACATGACCTCTTCCAAGTCATCCTTGGACGACCAACTCGCCACTTCCCTTTCGGGTTCCACTAGAGGGCTTGTCTACTGATGTCACTTGATGGTTTCCTCACAGTATGGCCAATCCATCTCCATTTTTTCCTGCCTATTTCTTTCACAATCGGTTCCTAGTTGGTTCGCTGGCAGTGATCTTTGTTGTTGATCTTTTCTAGCCGGCTATCTGATCTTGAGTATTGAGCGAAGACAAATGGCTGTTGATGAAGGTCTGTAGTTTGTTTGAGATGCTCTTTATGACGCGCCAAGTCTCTGATCCGTATAGTAGCACTGACTTCACAACCACACTGACTAGAGAACAAAGAAAGTTTCTTAAGTTAATTTTCATTTCTCACTGATTGATCATGTTGGACTGAAATGGTAGGTTGCTGCTGATATCTTGGCACCTATTATGGACCCTTCAGCGATGTCTAAAGATAAACATGATGTTATTTCACAAGATCCACTTCCTGTGCACTTATAATTTGTTTTAAGTTAATTTGCACTTTGAACCTTTTCCAAAGCAACAACATCACTCAGTGTAGACACAGGTACATTTAGCTGAAGAGTCCCAATCTGGACGAAATACTCATTCCAGATTCCAGTGCTAGTCACTATCAACCGAGACACATTCACATTCTACAGCTATATGTTCATAATACTAAGAGAATAATTGTAATTAGAATTTGCCCATGAATTGATATCAGTTAGAGAACCACTGGAAAACCAGGGAGTGCTGAACAACCGTTTTGTCAACCTAGTATGGGAATCATCAGCAGTACACACCCACCAACGGGGTCGAACCCAGGACCTTCCGGTTACAGACCACCAGCCAAAGTTATCGATGGGAAATCCATCCCTACTCCCGACTGGATGCACCTTGTAATTATCCAAATTAATTTTTGTTTTTAAGGATACCGAATCAGTTAGATCAAAAATCCAAGAGGTGTCTACGAGCAGTTCGTTACCAGATTACAGTTCAAACGTTTGTGTATGATAACATGCATAAATATTGTAAGAAAGTGAACATCAGATATCAGTGCAAACCATCATGAATCCCAATGAATATATCCTAGTGAATACTCGCAAATAATGTTCAAATTGAATGTGATTAGGCGTAACACAGATTAAATTGCCAACACCAATGAGAAGAAAGAGTGAATATAAGTAACAAATTAATACAATATGTAGGTATCTGTTGATTCAGCTTTTATTCACCATGATACACCTCAATAAAGGGTATCTTGTATCCTACGGAAACTCGACGTTGGAACTTGTATTTAAGAATTTCGAAGGCAGACAACTTTACTATTAATTACTTGATCCCTCTGTACACAAAAATATTTTTTATAAATTAATCACTGAATGATAACCAGTGGACCTGAACTGTCCCAAGAATATTTTGACATTCAGAGTAGTAATTAAGTAGTAGACCTAACCAGTTGATTTTGATTTTTTTAAAACATAAGCGAAACTTGAAAGCTGCATTCCTCAATTTCCAGTGACAGCCACTCATCTAGGAAGCACTGTTTCAACTACAGGCCAGTGGGACGGATGAAGATGTCAAAGCTAGCCAGAATCGGAAAAGCAAGATACACCTTCACCCATCTTAAGTCAGTTTGGAAATCTTCTGCACTGGCTCAGCCAGCACACAAATGCTTCTATACGGGTCAGAAACTTGGTGAACGCGTCACGAAAAGGGTTTCCAACAGGCAACTCAATAGTTTTATCAACAACTGCCTTCGGCGGCTCCATGCTGAAGATCGAATGACCAGAAAGAATTAGCAACAAGAAACTCTGTCTGGGAACAAAACAACCAAGAACCTGTCGTTCAACAAATATGTAGGAGAAAGTGGAGATGGGTCAGGCATACGTTGAGGAGGCCGTCGAGTGACATTGCGCGCATTGTAGGCAATCGATCGAGTGGAATCACAATGGGAAGCGACGAGTGGGTCGTCACTTCGAGGGTGACATGGAGGAGATCGTGTGAGGAAGAGATGAGAGATTATGGGCAATTGTGAACCCAACTGAAGAGGAGTGCAGAAAATAGAGCAAAGTGGAGATGTGTTGCTGAAGCCCTATGTTCCACTTGGAACCCAAGGGAATAATAATAATATAATAAGTGACAGGCTGGATTGCAGTAAGATAATGATTATCAAAGACTTTTAAATACCTACTGAAAACCAAGCAGTACTGGACAGCTACTTTGTCCTTTTTCGGAACTCATAACTTCACTGAGGATCAAACATAGAACCTTCAGGTCACGAAGTCAGTCCATCAGTTATCTAGCCAGTGAGACGGAATCCACAAGCCCATCAATTCTGACTTCTGCCAATTTATGATATATAACACGACCACCAGTCAATATCATCCGAGAGTATATATCCTCAAATCCAACTTGGGGGACCTCAATGGTCACTAATTTCCACTAGATCTCCAAGCAATATCACCTTACAACGAGTCACAGATGACCATTCGATTATTTTGTTTTTAAGTGTGTTTCTTTTGTAGAAATTCGATTAATTTTAATTTAGATCATCTGGAACCTTCAAATTATGAGGCAAGCTAGCTGGAGGCTCTGGGTTCAATCTTCGATAGGGTCATATGTGCGTGTGTTGCTGAAGAGCCCCAACGTGGGACGAAACAACTGGCCAGTACTTCCTGCTCTCAAACATTTTTGTGATCTAACTTGAAATAATTTACTGTTTAGTGAGTCAACTCTATCCATTGGCCAATTATTGATTTATTTATTTCAGTCCCTAAAGTTGAGTGTGTGTGTGTGTGTGTATAATTACTCATCTACGACACCCCTATGTAGTAAAATAACAAAAATTCGAAACTACACAATATCTAACGGTGAATATAATATGCTGTTTCGTCCTAGTTTGGGACTCATAGGCAGTACGCACCCACCGGGATTCGAACCCAGGACCTTCTGATTACAAGGCGAGCTCGTAGACAAGCTTGTAACCAGAAGGTCCTGGGTTCGAATCCCGATGGGTGAGTACTGACGAAGAGTCACAAACTAGGACGAAACAGCTGTCCAGTACTCCCTGGTTTTCAGTGGTTCTCTAACTGATGTCAGCTCATGATGAAATCCTCCACGCACTCATACAAAATCCCTACAAAACCAATACTAGAAAATATAATATGCCACAATAAATAATTACTTAATATCAGTATGAAGTTTGAGCATTGTGGAATAGATCAAGTAAAGTATAATTATATTTCAATAGTTTACACACAATGATAAGTTTTGTTATTGGTAATTTTGCTCGAAATATTACCAATAACAAAACTTATCATTGTGTGTAAACTATTGAAATATTATACTTTATTTGAAATAATTACTTGATTTATTAATCATATTACACACCTCACCAGTAAATGAATATAGATGAAAAAATTAGTAATTAAAGTCTTTATCGATTACTAAATTTGAACTGGGATAAGGAATTACTGAATCTTTAATGGTGTAAATGATGTAAAAATCAATCAATAAACATATTAATGCACACATTGTTTTGTTGTTGTTGTAAATTCACACAATATTAAACCTTTTTGAAAAAATCTGTTATGCTTATTTTTAGGTAATTATCACCTCTCGACAGATGAGACAAAATAAACAATTATTTTAAAAACTTGTGGCAGGTAAATTTAATACCAAACATTTTCACTAGTATTACGTAATAAATACGCAACATATCTGAACATATCTGAATTTATATCATAATTACTGTGTGTATATTTGACTAAATTGAGCAATTAACAGCGGATTAAATTTAATGTGTTTTGAAAATGAAACTGCATAAATCACATTAGTAGATGACCATTCTAAGGTAGATCCACTAGCTCTGTCAGGATGGTTGGGGCGGGGTGGTGGGTGAAGAATAAGGGTAGTGAGTGAGTAGTACGATTACTCATGATGTGGTGTGTTTTTTTAAGCTGTATAATAACGGCATTTGTTAAAACAATTTCAGGAATAGGGGATTAAAAAATTGAACCACAAAAATTCATTGTCAATATGTAAGGTAAGAATGAACCACATTAATTGCATAATGTATGGTTGAAAATCTCAGTTATAATAATTGATTTGATGCAATCTTTCAATGATGTCACCAGTTATACTTCACATTAGGTCAGATTAAATATGAACAGGAATGTATATAAGTAGAAATATCAGTAAGATTTTCAATAGGGAGTGATTTCACTCAAATTCATCTACGTTTATCTGTGTATGTGTTTGCGTGTGTATGTGTGTAGGCGCATAAAACTGCAATACAGACCTTTTTACCACAACTGTACCTATTTCATAATTGATAAACTCTCCACTTGCACACAACCATTCACCCTATGATGTCATTTTACTAACAACATTTGAGTTAATCAGCAAAAATAAGGCACAATGATGTCCGTAAACATTGACAGTCCAACTCCATGAACATGTTTTATGTCTATGCAGTAGATATCAGAGTTGTCTGTATGTTATAAGATATTAAAACGGTATTGACTTTAGATGGTTGGAGGCAGATGACAGGAAGCCCAGAACCTAGATTTCATGTGTTAGTGACACTTGTCAGCAAGGTGTGTCCGAAACATCTGAGATACTCATTTCTAAGCTATTTAGGCTAATCAATAATCTCCTGTATATCTGTGGTGAGTGCACTGATTATTCAGTGAACACCAGCACGTCAGCGATTCAATGTTAGAATGGTTGTCAGCCAACGCACTCCTAAACCTTTCCGTATTTACTACTGTTGTGGGGGGTGGGGGTTAGTGAGCCAGTGAAAGAAGGAAGACTGGACGTGATAACACTGCCGCTTCTGAAAATCCAAAGTTACATCATCGCTCATCAAAATAGTTTGTCCAACTTTATTTGTATCTACTAAACAAAAATTTGAATTACACATCATGTTTCCGTAGCTCTTTTAAAGAATCCCTCTCCTTTGCATTTCAAAGTACTGCTAGCCAAAATTATCCATGGAAGTATCAAGAAGAAAGGAAAACTTTTAAAAATGTCTTCACTCCTCCTCTTGGCATTCATAACGATCATACATCAATGAATAAAATTCGCTATTTGCAATTTACACAGTTCGAGGAGGCGAAATTTCAGCACAGTTTCCTTTGGAAAGCAAAATTATTAAGATCACAATATTTGATCTGCTTCATAACATAAACGGCAATCAAGAAAGCAAGCATAAAACTAAGTACTACTGATTCATTAAGATGAGTAGTTGGACACGACTCACATCGGGGCGTCGGTGGCACAGTGGTTAAGACGCTCACCGACCACACACATGGTCTGGGGTTCGATCCTTGACAGACGCACACCCGATACCAGTAATCACATTCTGAATATTCCATACTTGTACCAAAGATACTTTGCGGAATCAAGCTGTAATAATAATATTAATAACCTGCAATGCTTGCCAAGGGACCACCTCAAAGTGATGTAAACCCCGGACGGATGTTACACTCCTTTGGGGCTGAGCTCATCAAAGGTGTACCCGCTTTGACTTAGCTCAGAGAGCCGAGTCAATAACAATCACCCGATTTCTGGCTAATATCAGTGATGAGCAGCGTCGGTGGCATAGCGGTTAGGATGCTAGCCGACCATGCATATGGTTAGGGGTTCGATTCCCGGCCGACGCAATCTTTTACCTCGCTAAGCCAGAAATAAAGCTGGTAAAGGGGAAAGGTTGGGCCTGAGGCTAGCAACCTCATCCTGTAAAAATAAACACTGCTAAAGAAACTTCAAGCCTCTAGCTTCAATCCCTATGTTCCACTGGGAACGTGAAGGAATAAAAAAAAATCAGTGATGATCTCGGCCTCAACTGAGTGAAACATCCTTCCATAACCTCAAAGTTATCAGATGATTCAATTATCAAATCAAAATCAAAAAGTATTATTTCCGACTTCTAAGATCAATCACAACCGCCTTTTTTAATGTTTATCAAAATAATAATAATAATAATGATAATAATAACAGATATTTACTTACCTGTAGAGTTATTTGTTATCGTCACATTGTTGTACAAACTTTGTTGATGCTGTCCTTGTGCTTGTTGATTACTAGAAAGTAGATGTGCTGTATTGTACTCATTGATATTACCAGGTAACCAATTATTGATTATTATTATTATTAATAGTGGTAGTAGTATTATTTGAAAATTCATTATTCCATGTATTTTGTTCAATTTTCAATGTGATATTATTTATTATATTGTATGCATTAATATTGAACATTGATTCATTTGTTTTAGTGAATATTTCACTATTTATAGGAAGTGATTTCAATTTATTGATCGATGATGTTGATAGTGATATCGGTTGTGGTTGTTGTTGTTGCAGTGATGGGGGAAGAGGAATGTGTGGCATTACTGTTGAGATGATGTCTGTTGTTGCTGTTGGCAACAGTGCTATTGTCCTTGTTGTGGAAACTTTACACTTTTTTAATTCATTCAATTTTTTCATTCGATTTGATTGAATAGATCGTTTAATCTTTTTAGATGTTTGCGGTAGTGTTTTCTTTAATTTTATCGATATATTATTATTATTATTTTCATAATAATCTTTCATTTGATCATAATCGATGATAGATTCAAAATATGATCTGTTAAAATTTGAATTTTGAAAAAAAAAACAAATGAGGAGTTAAGAGAAGGCTATTAGTTTCAGTTTCATATATTTTAAAACTAAAGTTATAGAAGCCATAGGGCACTGGATAGCTGTTTCATCTAGTTTGGAACTGTTTGGTATAGGGTATCGAACTCAGGACCTTCTGGTCAAAAAAGGCTTATTGACCATTCACGCAGTGAGACGGAAACCAACGGTTTATGAATTTTTGGCTTCTCGTAGTTTCCTAAGGACTCCGTAACTAAGATTAAACAACAATCGAAGTCATGACCAGTAGGGTGCAGCAGGTCAGGTGTGCGGACAAATACTCGCCGAAGATATTGGCTAGGGGTCGCGCTATGTTGTGAATTGGCAGAAGTTGGAAGTCATGGGCTGGCCATTGGATTGGGTCCCAGTGGCTTAATGGTATACGAGCTCGCCTTGTAACCAGAAGGTCCTGGGTTCGAATCCCGGTGGCTACGTGCTGATGAAGAGTCCCAGACTAGGACGAAACAGCTGTCCAGTACTTTCAGGTTTTCCAATGGTTCTCTAACTAATGTCAGCTCATGATGAAAATCCTGTAATCCAATTCTCCTTGATTTCAGATAACTCTCATACTGATTCCATTTCATAATATGTAGGCAGTCAATATTATCGGTATTTGTCCTCACCTCTGACTTGGTAAACTTCATCGGTCACAACTTCTTGCTAGAACTCAAAGCAGCTGCATCCTGTAGTCAGCCCCTGGTAAGCATTACACTGCACTTACTGATCAACTCTTTCCTGACATTAACCTGTAATGTATTTGCACAACGTTGAGATGACATATACCTCCTTTTCTATTTCTATATATGTCATTCGGCAGTATAGTCAAAAATGTTTCTTGTATGTCTAGACTAATGAAAAATGGCATGAGTTATGGTGTGGCATGTACTACTGATGAGAATTTGTAAATAGTATGTGTAGGCGATTCAGTTTGCAAGAATCTTTAAATAGTAAAGCAACAGATTAAGTTGCAAAGAGGAGAAATGAAGATAACTATGAGACAACATAGAAAGCATAAAATGACGTCAAAAGAAGCTGAATATGATTGACTTTTGAAAGTTTAAATTGAATGTTTGTTTATTTTGCTGTAACCTTACATGATTTTGCCAAATAAATAATTCTGCTATCAAACACCACTATGCTTTACGGTGAGACTGGTATCCGATCTCACGGGATGAAAGAGTCTTAGTACTTCAAATTAGATGACAAACACTCCTCTGATTATTATGCATATTGTTAAACTGTTGACTGGACTAAGAGATGTAGGAAACTAGATAACATTATGATACAGCCTAACATCCGCCTTTACACATTTCTGATCTCTTCATACTTGGTGTCAAGCATCAGGGCGATTCAGCTACTAACTGGCATTATATCTTATTTAACCAATATAATTACTTTGATTGGACACTAGTGAGTAACTACTGCAATGTGTGGGTCTAGTCCTATCTTTGGTACAGACTGAATTCTATCAGTCAAATTGGAGGCGACTGACAGGAAGCCTAGGATCTAGGTTTCGTGCTAGTTGGCACTCGTCAGCGAGACGTATCTGCGCCTATCAAAGAACTAGACATATTACACTGATTACCAACTAGTGTCAAATCTTTGTATCCAATGCAGTCCTACAGGAGGTTAGTCGCCAGCCCCAATAGCTTACTGGTAACGTCTTCAACTGCAGCACTAGGTGACGCGGGTTCGAATCTCAGAAGGGACATGAGTTCCTTCGAGGCTGCAGATAGGCCTTACTGACTAATGAATGCCAACTTGCACGAAGCCTAGATCCAAAGCTACCCACGGATCGCCTCCAACCATCTAATATCAACCAGTATAATTTCCTGATTGAAATTTACACTCTACAATTTATAATTAACCTCACCTAGTTCACTAGGTTACTAGCCTAGCCTCAACCCGGAAAAAGAGAGATGGTTGGCGTAGGTCTAGAGACCAGCGTTTCAGCACTAATGTCACTTCAGGTCTTCTATATGATTCAGACACAGCACGCACGTTACCAAAAGCATCTCCAGCAGTTTACTGCCGACTTTTATCAACACATGTCTTCACTCGACACAATATTAAATGGCTAAAAACGGTTCTCAACAAGGAAACAACCAAGAACCCATCATCCAGCAGATATGTATTCGAAAATGAAGATGGATTGGGCGCACTCTGAAATGACATCTCAGGCTAGACTCTCGAGTGGAACGTGAACAGGAGACGATGAGTTAGACATAGAGGAGACTGAGTGGACAGGAAATGAAAGTTTATGAGTGATGGTGGACCAATCTGAAAAAGACAATGGATAACAGAGAGAAATAGCCATTTCCTGCTGAAGCCCTTCACTCGGAGTCCAAGGTAGTAATAATATATAATTAGATATTTCTATACAGAGACCTGTATAAAGCCATGTAAATTAATAACCGGGAAGATATACAAATTTCTATGACGATGATGAGATTCTTAAAGAAGTAGAGATTACAAGGAGTTCATATAACATCATTCAGTTAAGATCCATCTTCATAGAAGAGATAATTACAGTTCCTTTTTTTATTCCTTTACTTTCCCAGTGGAACATAGGGCTCCAAGCTCGAGGCTTGAAGTTCTTGTATAGCAGTGCTGATTATTTTTACAGGATGGTGTTGATAGCCTCATGCCCTACTTTCCCTTTTTACCAGTCTTATTACTGGCTTAGCGAGGTAAAGGAGTGCGTCGACAGGGGATCGAACCCCGGACCACCTGTGTGGTCGGCGAGCGCTCTACCGCTGTGCCACCGACGCACACAGTTCCATTGTGTCACATATTTTAGTAACGCATTCACTTCACTCTCATGAAAAAGTACAACTACTAGAAAATTATCTTTCTTAATTATCATTAATAATCATAATATTTAAGACACTTGTTACGTAACTTACGTATTAAGGCTTTCGCATAAAACTGATTGTTTCCTCGCCATTTTCATTTCAGCTATCTCCTGTACTGATTCATCATTTGAACAACAGGGATTCACTGATAATTCTGTTTGTAATTTTGAACATACGGAACATTCTGATGAGGATGACGATGATTTATTTGATGGTAAAGAAAAACACGAATAAACTGGCGATAAATTTGAATCATTCTGTCCTGTTGTTATTTCTTGATTTATTATCTTTAGTCTATGCACATTTTGATATTTATCACGCTGATAATTCTGATAATAATTATTAATATGATTATTATTATTATCGTTATTATTATTTTGAGCTGACCAGTTATAATTATATGCTTGACTGATATTCTCATGATGCTGATTAACCTGACTAGGATGATCATACTGATGTTGACAAGGATGAGATTGATATTGAGGATGATGATGGTAATAGGGATTGTGTTGTTGGTCAATATTATTGTAGCTTTCTACTACATGATTATTACCTGAGTTAGAATAAAAATCTTTCTCTTGAAGCTCTGTAGACTGGAATTCACACAGAGATGAAGAAGCTTCAGAATAATCTATTAAAATAGAATGGGTAAAAAAGAAACAGATGTATGCTAAAGTATTTGTACAGAATGTATAAGGATATGTGATTGTTTAAAGAAAAGGACAGTGCATGAAAAGTGAGAAGAATTAGCCAATGTCGTCGGTGACCATTTGTCCTTCCCCCACCCTACTGATCACAACTTCTCACTGGAACTCCAGGCCACTTCGTCCTTTAGCGAGTCCCTAGTGAGCATTAGGTTACTTTTCAAGAGTCAGTTTGTAGGGATTCGATTTGTTTCAAGTTCGACCACGGACTGATATCAGTTAGAGAACTATCCGGTCGAGAGTGAGGACAAATACTCGCCAACAATGACACTGGCTAGTGTCAGTCGCGGTAAAATCACGAATTGGTAGAAGTTGGGATTCATGGGCTGGTCATCGAGTCATATCCCAATGTCTGAATAGTCCACGAACTTTCCTTGTAGTTGAAAGGTCCTGGATTCAAACCCCAGTGGGTGCGTACTGACGATGAGTCCCAGACTAAGACGAGACAATTGTCCGGTACTTCCTGGTTTTCAATAGTTCTCTCAGTCCATGATCAGACGTGAAACAAACAGAATCCTTACAAACTGACTGTTGAAAATTAACCTGAGGCTTGCTAATGGCTGGCTGCAGTACGAAGTTAACATTAGCGTTACCATTAGAATCGCTGTCAGTCAGGATGATCGATGAAGGAGTAGATAATTTACTGCCAAAACAAATTTACCTCCCTTTCAATTTTGCCTACTTGAATGTGTTGAATAGAAGCGGTCAATTACGACTTTAGTTTCCTCAGGTAGTTTTTGTTTGTCTTATGTGGTTGCGTATTACACGCTTAATGGAATGCTGTAGTCACATCAAATATTACGTTTGGCTGTTTTAAACGGTTCTTTATCTAATAATAATAATAATAATTTGCTTTATTCCAAAACAGTACTTGTGATACAGAATGGAATTTTCAGCATTTTTACTACAGTATTGCATCCAGTTAGTACATTATCAATAAATAGAATTCTACATAGATTGAGGAAACCACAGTTCATTATTACAACAATACATTGGCATGTCAGTAGCAAAGGTAAAGCTGAAATAGTGTTTGAAGGTGTTAGAAAAGTGGGAGCTGTCTTATTAACTGGCGTAAGCGAGAGAAAGAGACAAAGCAGCACATAACGGAAAAAGAAGAGAGAGAAAAGGAAAAGAAAGAAAGAAAATGTTGTACCTATTGATGATGTGGGTTGGAAAGACGAGATCCAGTTGTATCGATTTCATTTAAACAGTTGTAGCTTGATTGGACACTAGTAACTAGTGTGACGTGTCTAGTCCTTTGATTGGTGCAGACTGAATTCTACCAGTCAGATCTGTGCACATTGATTTGATGATATTAGACGGTTGGAGGCAATCGGTAGGAAGCTTTGGACCTGCAGAAGATCAATCGCGAGCCAGAATAGCTCAGTGGTAACGTCTCTGACTGCAGCACTGGGTGACGCGGGTTCGAATCTCCTTCAAGGGTGCAGATACGCCTTGCTGATTGGTGAGTGACAACTAGCACGAAACCTAGGTGGTGTCCAAGGCTTCCTGTGGCCGATTGCCTCCAACTATCTAATATCATCAAACAGTTGTAGCGTTTGGTATATTACGGGTGATACACCTAGCGACTACTTTTATCCTCACCCATTTTAGCAGTCTAAAGGTGAAAATTCAGTCATATGGATTTTATCAGGCAACATTTGAATTAACTTAATTTAACGAACAAGGAATTCTACCTAATTACTATCCTCAAACTTATATCATTTTGTGACGGTAGAAGACAAGAGGATTGGTAACGGAATGTTTATTTTGGAATTTAAATCTCCATATAGCCAAATTATGTACACCTTTTCTTCAACGCACCACTTGCACAAATCTTGCGTGTTGTGCCTACTTCTGTTCTTCTTCTCGTGTCTCCCATGTTTCTCCGCAACGCTGAATCATTTGCTCTCTTCAAAGTCGAATCGATCTCTCCGCTATCTGATATTTTTTATACCGATTAACATCTCTTTATATACTACTGATAAATCATATCAGTAACACGACACACCACAATTTCACCTTCATTCATGTCTGTATGAAAGAATACCCCTGAAATCACATGACTGCTAACAAATTTTCACTATAATTTTGATGATATTTGATAATAAAAAGTCTTCGTATTTAAAATGGTATATGTAGTATGAATGGTTGTACTACTAGGTAGCTAGCTCTGTTGGTCACAGAGATGCCAGTTATCATTATATTGATTTTTAATTTTCAAATCTTATTAATCCATAATATATATATAAGCACGTGAACTTAAACGCATGTATACATGCATTCACATAAACATTACCAACACAAAGGAGCTGAATTCAAATTTTGAAAAATATTTATATATATATATATATATATATATACATGATGTACATAAAGGTTCCATATAAGATAGAATATGTATTTAACGTGATGATATTCTCTATTTGTTTATACAAAGATAAATGTGATGTGAAATGGACAAATTAACCGTATTTTTCGATTAGTTTTGGTGACTTGTGTTCTTAGTACTACAATAACTAACTTGTTGATACTGTCTCTCTGTCACACACACACACACACACACACACACAAGCACACTCCTTAGACAATGAATAATGCTGACAATGACAGACAGTAATCCAGTGATGATGCCTAATTGAGGCCAACAAAAAAGGACGAAATAATAATAATGAATGCTAAAACAAGGCGGTGGTGGTGCTGCTGGCGGTGACGGTGATGGGAATTGTTTTAGACAAGAGGAATAAAAATTAATAGAAGATGAACCAATCTTTTTGCTTCTTCCAGGTGTCTTTTTTGATAAATTTCTACTAATGATCTGATCTGAAAATGTATTCCGTAAAACTCGGTGTACACAAGTGGCTGATTTAATTAATAATAATAATAATAGTAATAATAAATATGCACGTGCATGTTTATCGCTGTAATTCGTGTAGAATGAATGCGAAGGAATAATTTATAAACTGTTGGTTTTGTTTTTTCCTAGTCAATTCTAATTTGTCTTCTTTATTGTTATTTTGGAGAATCAATGTGAATATAAATAGGAATACGAAATGAATACTGAATACTTATTGTCCTTTCATCACCCCCCTTTCTTCGCATTCCTCTCTCTTTCTCTGTCAAGCACATACATCCCCCCCCCGCATTGTCGTCCTTTCCGTCTTACAGATTCGGAAATACTTAATCAGTCAGTGTTTTATTTTGCTGATTTTTTCCAACGAACATTATTTATTCAAAGCTTCTTAGTTTGTCATCAGGGATCAGTAATCTCTCATATAAATCTTCACTCTATAATATATGTTAATGTTGAAAATAGCAAATAAATAGCAAATTAGTATGCTTGATGTATGTATAGTACACATGTACGTACACACATGTAAAGTATACTGTACACTACAGAAATACATAAGTACATCAACAACAATCATCAAATAAAAATAAAAACTATGAGAATAGGAACAGCTGAAACATCAAAAATCTAAAAAAAAAAACACAAATCGAAATGCTTTAGAGGACACGTAGAAGAAATGGAGGGGGGGCCACATACACCTCCACCCTCCTCTCTTACTACTTCTTATTCGTGTTCTCTATTATTATTATTCGTCTTCGAAAATGACATGTGATCAGATAAATGATCTTTGCTTTTATTTTACTTTTTTTTGGAATAAAACGAACGTTTAGTAGACAATGACTAAAACTACACAAGATGGACTATTAAGTAAATAAACAAATCATTCAGGCGACAGTTTGTTAATTAGAATGGACAACTATCAAAACATTTAGTACGTTGATAGTAGTAGTAGTACCAGTAGTAAGTAATAGCAATAATTATAACAATAATAATAATAATAATTGTGATATTATTAGCAGTAGTGATAGTAGAACTTTATTCCTGAGAAATTTAATGTTTTGTTTATTTACTCAAAAAATTAAAAAAACTTCTTATGAGAGTTAATAATAATAATAATAATAGTCAGCATGCCGTGTCACTAACGCTAAAGTTAGCACTTTCGCGTACACTACCAGGTTCCTGTACATATTCAGTAAGAAGTGATACTCTAAAGCCTCTTTAATACGTATAAATTAGAAGGTTGGAGGTAATCGCCACAAAAAGCCTTGAACCTAGGACTCGTGCTAGTTGGCACTCATTAGTCAGCAAGGCGTATCTGCAGCCTTGAAGGAACTTGACGGATAGAATTCAGTCTACACCAAAGATAGGATTAGACACATTACACTAGTTACTGACTAGTGTCCAATCAAAAATATAAGTATAAATAATATTTATACCTTGATTAGTAACCGTTTCATTTCATTCGTTTGCGTTACAGCGCTTAAACTTTGAAATTTTTGGTTAGTGGTAGTGTTGTTTTTTACGAGGTAGGGTTGCCAGTTCCACGCCCAACCACCCCTCTTTACTGGGCTTGCTAGTGGCTAGGTGAGAAGAGTGCAGCGGTATCTGTGTATTTATTATTATTATTGTCATTATTATTATTATTATACTCACAGGTTCTTACTAAGGTCGAAATTCTACCGGTCAAGTTTACAATGTAGTTACCAGGTTAGAGGAATCGCCATTGCTGTTCACTTTGATATGATGTTGATTTCATCCAGGAGAATCAAAATCAGTTTCATCAAGTGTTGTATTCAGAAAAGATGTTACCATTGAGCTATTTTGTCCATGATTTTTATCCTGCAGTACTGGAATGATACATTGATTGAGTACTAGGATATATCTACTGTCATGTTGCTTAGTTCTTAGTGCTCATTGCATTCATATGAGTATACAGTTATGGGGATTATGATCTCTAACCCATTTTATATACAGTGACTATGCTGTGTCTTCAACTATTAAATATTTAACAATACGTAATTTATTCGATGGAAGGTGAAGAAAAGACTCGAGTCAGTGGTTCAGTGGTAAAATACT